CCCATACAGGTGTAGCATGATGGTGCTTCACATGATGGGGCCCATACAGGTGTAGCATGATGGTGCTTCACATGATGGGGATCCCATACAGGTGTAGCATGATGGTGCTTCACATGATGGGGGTCCCATACAGGTGTAGCATGATGGTGCTTCACATGATGGGGGTCCCAAACAGGTGTAGCATGATGGTGCTTCACATGATGGGGCCCATACAGGTGTAGCATGATGGTGCTTCACATGATGGGGGTCCCATACAGGTGTAGCATGATGGTGCTTCACATGATGGGGCCCATACAGGTGTAGCATGATGGTGCTTCACATGATGGGGGTCCCATACAGGTGTAGCATGAGGGTGCTTCACATGATGGGGGTCCCATACAGGTGTAGCATGATGGTGCTTCACATGATGGGGCCCATACAGGTGTAGCATGATGGTGCTTCACATGATGGGGCCCATACAGGTGTAGCATGATGGTGCTTCACATGATGGGGCCCATACAGGTGTAGCATGATGGTGCTTCACATGATGGGGGTCCCATACAGGTGTAGCATGATGGTGCTTCACATGATGGGGGTCCCATACAGGTGTAGCATGATGGTGCTTCACATGATGGAGGTCCCATACAGGTGTAGCATGATGGTGCTTCACATGATGGGGCCCATACAGGTGTAGCGTGATGGTGCTTCACATGATGGGGCCCATACAGGTGTAGCATGATGGTGCTTCACATGATGGGGCCCATACAGGTGTAGCATGATGGTGCTTCACATGATGGGGCCCATACAGGTGTAGCATGATGGTGCTTCACATGATGGGGCCCATACAGGTGTTGCATGATGGTGCTTCACATGATGGGGCCCATACAGGTGTAGCATGATGGTGCTTCACATGATGGGGGTCCCATACAGGTGTAGCATGAGGGTGCTTCACATGATGGGGGTCCCATACAGGTGTAGCATGATGGTGCTTCACATGATGGGGGTCCCATACAGGTGTAGCATGATGGTGCTTCACATGATGGGGGTCCCATACAGGTGTAGCATGATGGTGCTTCACATGATGGGGCCCATACAGGTCCCATACAGGTGTAGCATGATGGTGCTTCACATGATGGGGCCCATACAGGTGTAGCATGATGGTGCTTCACATGATGGGGCCCATACAGGTGTAGCATGATGGTGCTTCACATGATGGGGCCCATACAGGTGTAGCATGATGGTGCTTCACATGATGGGGCCCATACAGGTGTAGCATGATGGTGCTTCACATGATGGGGCCCATACAGGTGTAGCATGATGGTGCTTCACATGATGGGGCCCATACAGGTGTAGCATGATGGTGCTTCACATGATGGGGCCCATACAGGTGTAGCATGATGGGCTTCACATGATGGGGCCCATACAGGTGTAGCATGATGGTGCTTCACATGATGGGGCCCATACAGGTGTAGCATGATGGTGCTTCACATGATGGGGCCCATACAGGTGTAGCATGATGGTGCTTCACATGATGGGGCCCATACAGGTGTAGCATGATGGTGCTTCACATGATGGGGTGTAGCCCATACAGGTGTAGCATGATGGTGCTTCACATGATGGGGGTCCCATACAGGTGTAGCATGATGGTGCTTCACATGATGGGGCCCATACAGGTGTAGCATGATGGTGCTTCACATGATGGGGATCCCATACAGGTGTAGCATGATGGTGCTTCACATGATGGGGGTCCCATACAGGTGTAGCATGATGGTGCTTCACATGATGGGGGTCCCATACAGGTGTAGCATGATGGTGCTTCACATGATGGGGCCCATACAGGTGTAGCATGATGGTGCTTCACATGATGGGGGTCCCATACAGGTGTAGCATGATGGTGCTTCACATGATGGGGCCCATACAGGTGTAGCATGATGGTGCTTCACATGATGGGGGTCCCATACAGGTGTAGCATGAGGGTGCTTCACATGATGGGGGTCCCATACAGGTGTAGCATGATGGTGCTTCACATGATGGGGCCCATACAGGTGTAGCATGATGGTGCTTCACATGATGGGGCCCATACAGGTGTAGCATGATGGTGCTTCACATGATGGGGCCCATACAGGTGTAGCATGATGGTGCTTCACATGATGGGGGTCCCATACAGGTGTAGCATGATGGTGCTTCACATGATGGGGGTCCCATACAGGTGTAGCATGATGGTGCTTCACATGATGGAGGTCCCATACAGGTGTAGCATGATGGTGCTTCACATGATGGGGCCCATACAGGTGTAGCGTGATGGTGCTTCACATGATGGGGCCCATACAGGTGTAGCATGATGGTGCTTCACATGATGGGGCCCATACAGGTGTAGCATGATGGTGCTTCACATGATGGGGCCCATACAGGTGTAGCATGATGGTGCTTCACATGATGGGGCCCATACAGGTGTTGCATGATGGTGCTTCACATGATGGGGCCCATACAGGTGTAGCATGATGGTGCTTCACATGATGGG